ACATGTAATGATTTTAAAATTTAGACCACATTATTTTAGGTATACTCTTCCGTTATTGAGTCCTCCAATACAAACAATTAAGTGGGAAACTCTTTTAATGTCAGATAATGCTTTAAATATATTAGGATTAGAAAAAAATAATATTACTTATTGCGGTGATCATTTGCTTATACGTAGAAACAAAGAACCGAAATTATTTGGAAATCTTTATTACAAAAATTATATATTTACAAATACAAATACTTCAAAAAGAAAAAAAAGATTTATAGGCTTAAGGGAAATGATGCAAGATTTAGACGTTTTTCCGCTTAAAATGTCAAGTAATAGACAGCTAAGACCTTCAAGAATTAGCTTAAAACGTATTAATAAAATACCTTTATCTGATCAAGCATTAAAATGGATACTAAAAAAAGTTTCATTTGAAAAAAATGTAGCGTATTTTGATTTTCTTGTTAGATCTATTTATATTAACATTGAAAACCCACGGACACTTTGGGCTATTTTTGCTGAATATATTAAATTAGAAAAGGCTCGATCAAGATCAAAAGTTGAAAAGCCTGTTGTAATTTTAAATAAAAAAAAACCTCAAATAGATAAAAGTCAATGGGATAGTAAAGATTATTTAGTTGAAACTACTGTTGATCTTCCACCTAGATTAATACGTTCAACCGAAAAAAAAATTAACTTCCCTATTTTGCCAAATGAGGATCAAATTATTTCTAATAAGCCTAACTGGCCTATAGAATACTATAGAACTTATTTAACAAATGTAAGCAATGTAAAAAAAATTCCTTTTTTAATCAAAAATGATTTACAAAATGAACTAGCATTAGCTGAAACTGAAAGGCTTGACGAGTTTTCATTTCTTTATAAAATTAACGAAAAAAAAATTTTGAAAACTATTCAGTTTCGTATCTTTAGTGATGATGATTCTAATAGTTCTTATACTAGATTGCCAATCTCTGATAAAAGAAAAATTTCATTAAATTTTTTAAAAAACTATAAAGGGAAAAAAAAAGTTAATAGCTCTGTTGAACACTTTAAATTTAAAATTAAAAGGGTTTCAAAACGATCTAAAAAAAAATTAACTAAATTTGGAAAATTATCGAGATTAAATAAAATTGAATTAGAACCAATTAAAAAATTGTATCAAAAAAATCCAAGCTTTATAAATGAATATCAAAAAAAGATGGATCTTGAAGAAAACAGATTCTTTAGTAAAGATCGTAGAATTTTTATTAAACCACGATTAATGACAGGTTATAGTTATCCTGATTCTACATTAACTGAAGTACGAGCTTTAAAATTTTATGATTTTCTAACTCAATTTAAAAAAACAACGTTAATTAAAATAGAATTACCTCCAAATTTTTCAATTACTAGTTATATTCCTATAGCTTTTCCTGAAGCTCCAGATACTAGCAAAATTAAAATTGCTACTGTAAAAAGAAAAAAAGGGAAAAAAAAATTTAATGATATGATTTTATCTAATGCTTTAGAATCTGAGTTCGATCCTCAAGAATATTTGACTCAGTATGAAAAAGAAGATTTAGGTATATTTGGTACTGAAGTAATTGAAAGTGAAAAACTTCCATTTAATTATAGAGGCCCAGGTGTTGTTGTAACGGAAAATAATGATATTGTACTTTCTTGTAAACATAAATATCCAAAGAATGCAAAATATTATTTATATTCTTGCCGAATTCCATTTGATTATTATACAGGATCATCTGATGACCCTAATAAAAATAATCAAGATATTCCATTACGCAAAGATTATAATATTATTCGGGAATGGTTATTTAGTTATTTAACTCCAGATAATCCATTACAGCATGGAACTCTTCTTACTAATGATATTGATCATATAAAAAATATAACGAGAGAAGCGTTACTTCGTCGAGCAACTAATAACCCAGATTATCAAAGATTAATAACTACTCAATTTGGACACCATATGTATCGTGTGAAACGCAAAGGGTTTTGGAAAAAATGGGGTGTTTTTCCATTTCGTCGAAATGATTTAGATATACCGACTTTGTGGAATTCTGAGCTTCCATCGCAAACAAATGGTATTTTAATTGGGTATTCTGATGATGATTGGTTTGATCGAACTAAAGTCGTAAAAGAATTTATTTTTCCAATTTGGCGTGAAGAAGTACTCGGCGATTATGAAGAGCTTGATAACTCACATTATGAAAGAAAACGACTTTTAGCTACTACAAAAGGTTATATTAGTGGGACTTTACCTTCAAGCCCGTTAATGATACCTACAAAAGATGAAAGACCTAAATTTTATTTTGGGGCTACACCTGAAATAGATTATACAGCAAATCCGTATGCTTTACAATTTATTTATAAAATATATAAATCTGTTAATAATCCTCATGTTACAGAATTAATACGTGGTTTAGGTTTTGGGCATCAAGCAGTAATTACTACATCTTCTACTACCTATAAAAATAAACTATTTTTTAATGTATATGAGCCAGTTACGCTTCAAGTTTGGTTATATATTTCATATTTAGCTTTTGGTTATTTAGGTATAATACTTGTAAGGCAAGTAGCTGTAGTTTATAGTCATGAGTTTTTACATATTTTACTTGATCAATTAAAAGATACAGGATATTTACCGCCAGAGCTTCGTGATGAACTAAATATTATACTTGGTTATAAAGATGCAGGATTTCGTATTGCTACAGAATTTAAAAAAGGATTTGGGCATATTGTTGGTATTGAAAAATATATAAATCAATTTGTAGAAATTGTTTTATATTTACGTGGTGGAATTAAAAATCCAGATATTGCGAAAAATGCGCAAACAGTATTATTAGTAGGTCCTCCAGGAACGGGAAAAACTATATTAATTCAAGCTCTAGCTTTTGAGGCGAACGTTCCTGTTCTTACATTAACAGCACAAGGAGCACAAGAACCAGACGCTTTAGATCGTTTATTTAAAAAAGCACGCAAATTAGCGCCATGTATTGTATTTTTTGATGAAATTGATAATATAGGTCGTAAGCGTGAAGGAGTTTTAGGTTTCGAAGATGTTCTTAATGATGATTTTATCAAAAAATCTATAAGAGAGGATGAATTTCCTGAAATGTCGACTCTTATTGGACAGGTAGATGATTTAAATCCACATTTTTTACGAAATAAAAAAGAATTTAATACGTCAGTTAATCGAGATGTTCAAAATCATTTAATTAAAAAACATGATGATGAATATTATCGAGTTGGTATTCTTTCACGGTTATTAATTGAATTAGATGGTATAAGTAGTAGAGAAGGAATTGTTATTATTGGAGCGACTAATAGAGTTGATGTTTTAGATTCTGCTTTATTAAGACCGGGACGTTTTAATAGACATATTCGAGTTTCTTTACCTAATCGGGAAAAAAGATTACAACTTTTTCAATTTTATACAAAAGGTTTAGGTAGTACTCCTGATATTCCTTGGGATTATTTATCAAAATTGACATTTGGGTATAGTGCAGCAGATATAGCCGCTATCATGAATGAATCTTGTATGAAAGCAATTTTAGATAATAGTATTCATAGTTTGGAAAGTATTGAACATGGAATTGATCGATTAACTACTAATGCCATTATTAAACCAACTTTAAGTGAAAAAGAAAGAACATCAAAAAATATTGAGTTTAATTATTATTATTCTACTGTTCGCGGGGCTTATTATCAAGCAGGGAAAGCTCTTGTGGGAACACTTTTAAAATACCACCCTCCTATAATAGCACTTCATCTTTGGTACCGTGAAAATAGCGTCCGCTATGAACAAATTCAACTTACAACTTTAGTTGAATGGTTAAGATTTGTATTTCGAGGTGAATTAGAACATCGAATTATTGGAGCTTTTGGTGGAAAAGCTGGAGAGTGGGTTTTTTTAGAAAATTTACGTGATATAGCAGATAAATCATTTATTTCTAATATGGGTGCACAAGAATGGAAAATAGCACAAGCTTTAATTCATTTACTGGTGGATAAATGGCATATGTATACACCACATATTTTTTTATTACAAGAACAAAGACCTTTGTTATCTAATTTTAATTTATTTGTATATACAGATGTTAAAGAGCAATTTTTATATGAATTTGCTCAAACTTTTGAAGCCTCTCCAAAAGGAATTAATTTATTAGGTTTTGAAGAAGATAAAAATCCACAAACTTTATTTTCTTTAACTTGGTGGCAAATGAAGCTACAAGAACATTATTTAGAATTAGAACTTCAAAAATGGTATTCATTATGGCTTTCAAATCCGGAAGAATGGAAATTTAATCCACAATGGGTTTCTCCTGACTCAACGTTTCATCAAAATACTACAAAAGAAGATATATATTTTGGAACAAAATATAAAGATTTGGCTTTTTTAATTCGCGATTATCGAATTAATTCTATAATATTAGAAGCATGCAATGTCTCTTTTTTAATTACAACAACGTATAGAGAAATACTTGATCAACTTGCATACGAATTATTGCATGAAGGTATTTTACGTGAATATCAAATTTACAAAATTTTTGAAAATTTTGGAATAGATTGCGTAAAATTAAAAGAAGAGTTAAATCAATCTTTAAGTTCAGCTGTACTAAATACTGATTTACCTTCAAATTATAAAATACTTTATCATTCTTGGGGTCCTTATTCAGCAAAACCTACAATTCGCTGGATTGATATAGAAGCAGTTAAGAATAGTACAACTTCAACATTATCTAATGAAAAAGAAAAAAAAAATTTAGATAATGAAAATATTGCTAAAGATCTCGATCTCGATTAAAGAAAAAGATTTTATTCTAGAAAATTTTAAAAATATATCTTTAAAGTATATAAAAAAGTTAAAGATATATTTTTAAAATTTTCTACTGCTATGGTGAAATTGGAAAACACATAACTTTCAAAAAGTTACAGAGAAATCTCTATCGGTTCGAATCCGATTAGCAGTAAATTTTTTTAAGTTCATAACTTAAGACCCTATTTTATTGGGCGAACGACGGGGATCGAACCCGCGAATGATGGAGTCACAGTCCACTGCCTTGCCACTTGGCTACGTCCGCCATTTTTTAGCGGATAACGGGAATCGAACCCGTACCTTTTGCTTGGAAGGCAAAGACACTACCTTTATGCAATATCCGCGCTAATTTTTTGATAAACTAAATTTTTTTATAATAAAAATTAAAAAGAATTTAAATTGGGTTACTAACTCAATGGTAGAGTATTCGGCTTTTAACCGACAAGTTCCGGGTTCGAGTCCCGGGTAACCCATGAATTTTTATGGATACTAACTATTTTTTTCAATATTTAAATTTTTATAAAGATTTTAAGTTACTAAAGTCTTCGAATTTAAATTTTTTTTGTGCTATTTCAAGTGGCCAAGATTCAATGTTTTTGTTTTTGTTTTTTTTACATTTACAATTTTCGTTTAAGTTTAAATTAAATATTTTTTATTGTAATCATTTATGGCAACAGCAAAATTTTTATTCTTTTAAACAAATTTATAAAATAGTGTATATTTTTAACCTTCCAATTTATCTATATATTAATGAAAAAGAAATACAAAATGAAAGCATTGCGCGAAATTGGCGTAAAGACTCTTATAATAGGCTTTGTCTTATGAAAAAGAGTAAACATCTTCTTTTAGGACATACAGCAACAGACCAGATAGAAACAGCTTTTTTTAATATAATTAGGGGATCAAGCCCACATGGTATTTCTAATTTAAAATATTCTAAAAAAGCAAAGATTCCAAATTATATTAATATTTTTGTTTCTAAATTTTATCTTTTTCCAAAATATTCTTTTTCTAAAAAAAATTTAGATAATAAGCTTTATTCGCATTATACTTTTTATAACTTAAGTTATAAAAAGTATAATGCGAATAAAGCTCTTTCTTATTCTTTTTTCCTTAAAAAAAAAAGTTTTTTTATTAAAAATAAAAGTTTTTATTCTTCAACTCTTTTTTTAAATAAAAAAAAGAAACAAAAAGTCAATATAATTTATCGACCTTTATTAAAATTACATCGAAATGATATAATTATTTTATCGAAAATTTATAAAATTCCAATTATTTTTGATTTCAGTAATTTAAATTATTGTTTTTCAAGGAATTACATTAGAACTCAAATTTTTAGCTATTTTCGGCAAAATTTAAATAATACATTTGATTTAAAATTTTTTCAATATTTAAATATTTTAATAGAAGAACAAAAATTAATTGAATTTTTTGTTAGAAATTTAATAAAAAAAAAAACTTCAATTAACACTAAAAAATTACCAATTGCTTTACAACGACGCTATCTTTTTAGTATTTTGAAAATTTATCTTAATTTAGCGTGTACGTACTCTCAATTAGAGAAATGTAGACGTTTTTTTATAAATGAAAATATTTAAAAATTTTGGTATTGCCAAGAACCAGACTTGAACTGGTGACACAAAGATTTTCAGTCTTTTGCTCTACCGACTGAGCTATCTCGGCGTTTCTTTAGTGTTAATAATTAAATTAAAAACCTATAATATATTATGAATAAACAATTTTTACAATTTGTGATAACAACCGTTTTATTTTTCCCATTAGTTTTTTCTACAATTTTACTACATATTTATGATCCAATTGATGACACTAAAAATAGTAAATTTGTGAAATTTATTTGTCAGCCAATTCGCACTAATTACAAAGAACCGAAATTTTATATTATTTTAATACTTTCTATTTCATGGTTTGTGATTTACATACTTTGTATATTAAATATAGGCATGTTAGGGAAGTAAATTCTGAGATGGAAGGATTCGAACCTTCGAATGGCGGGATCAAAACCCGATGCCTTACCACTTGGCGACATCTCATTTCCTAAAATGTTTATAATATTATTATATTTAAGATACCATATTAATAATAAATTTTTATAACTAGTAATTGTATTTTAGGTTTTAAAATTAGTTTTAATTTTATAAAATCTAATCAAATATTGGAGTTATTTTAAAAATAATTGGTCCAATAATAGGTATAAACTTTTCATAAAAGTCATCTAGTTAAAATATATAATGCTTAAAATTTTTTTTTGGATAGTTTTGTAGATAAAATAATTTTTCTAATAACTCAAGAAAAATTATGTATAAAATGTAATCATATACCTTTTCAACCTTTCATTAAAAATAGGTATTATTTTAGTATTTATTAAAATTTTTTTTCTTTTTACTTATAGAGTCATAGGCGAATGTGCTTTAATTGAAATTAATACAATTACTATTCTTTTAGTGAATGAAGCAAAAATAGAAGATTTTTTTAATAAATAAATAATAATTTTAAATTTATAAAATCTGATCGGCAACGAAGCTTTATAAGTTTATAAAAGCTCACTATCAGTTATCAATATCTCAACAAATAAACAAAGATTAAATTTTTATTATATGTCTCGTTATACAGGTCCACGACTACGTATTATACGTCGCTTAGGCCCATTGCCAAGCTTTACGAAAAAAAGAATTAAATATTATAGAATTAAACGTAAATGGCAAAAAAAAAACTCTGCTAGTTTAAAATATTCTATTCGATTAAAAGAAAAACAAAAATTAAGATATAATTATGGTGTTAATGAACGTCAATTATTAAATTATGTGCGTCAAGCACGATTAAAAAAAGGTTCTACAGGCGAATTATTATTACAATTTTTAGAAATGCGCTTAGATTGTATTATTTACCGTTCAGGTTTTGCTCCAACAATCCCAGCAGCACGCCAATTTATTACTCATGGCCATATTCTTGTTAATAAAAAAAGAGTAAATATTCCAAGTTATATTTGTAAAGCTGATGATTTTATTTCAGTTTTTAAAAAATCTTTTAATTTTATAAAAAAAAAATCAATTTATCTTAGAAAAAATGCAACATCTGCATATTTAACTGTTAATCATAAAAAATTAGAAGCCCGTATTCTTACAATAATACCACGTGATTTAGTAAAACTTTATATAAATGAATTATTAGTAATTGAATATTATTCGAGAAAATTATAATTTTCTCGAATAATATATATAAAAATGCGATTATGATGAAATCGGTAGACATGCAAATTTGAGGGGTTTGTGGAATAAATTCCGTCTCGGTTCAAGTCCGAGTAATCGCATTTATTATATAATATATTATAAAAACAATTACTATTCCTTAGTAGCTCAGTGGTAGAGCGGTCGGCTGTTAACCGATTGGTCATAGGTTCAATCCCTATCTAAGGAGAGTTTTTATAAAAAGCATAAAGTTAAATAGAATAGAACTGCTTTACTTTTTTTGCTAAAATTCATATAATATAAATAAATACTACGAAGAGTTTGATCCTGGCTCAGGATAAACGCTGGCGGCATGCGTAACACATGCAAGTTGTACGAAGATGTATAATTTTTATACAAACTTAGTAGCGGACGGGTGAGTAATACATAAGAACCTACCTTTTGGTATGGGATAACTATTGGAAACGATAGCTAATACCATATATTGCTGAGAAGTGAAACTATTAAGGGCCAAGAGATGGGCTTATGCCTGATTAGCTAGTTGGTATGATAATAGCATACCAAGGCAAAGATCAGTAGCTGTTCTGAGAGGATGATCAGCCACACTGGGACTGAGACACGGCCCAGACTCCTACGGGAGGCAGCAGTGAGGAATTTTCCGCAATGGGCGAAAGCCTGACGGAGCAATGCCGCGTGAAGGAAGACAGCTTACGGGTTGTAAACTTCTTTTCTCAGAAAAGAAAAAAATGACGGTATCTGAGGAATAAGCATCGGCTAACTCTGTGCCAGCAGCCGCGGTAAGACAGAGGATGCAAGCGTTATCCGAAATGATTGGGCGTAAAGCGTCTGTAGGTGGTTTAAAAAGTACATTGTTAAATTTTAAGGCTTAACCTTAGCAAAGCAAGGTAAACTTTTAAACTAGAGTTTGGTAGAGGCAGAGGGAATTTCCGGTGGAGCGGTGAAATGCGGAGAGATCGGGAGGAACACCAAAGGCGAAAGCACTTTGCTGGGCCATTACTGACACTAAGAGACGAAAGCAAGGGGAGCAAATGGGATTAGATACCCCAGTAGTCCTTGCCGTAAACGATGGATACTAAATGTTGGAGAAATTCAGTATTGTAGCTAACGCGTTAAGTATCCCGCCTGGGGAGTACGCTCGCAAGAGTGAAACTCAAAGGAATTGACGGGAACCCGCACAATTGGTGGGGCACGTGGTTTAATTCGATGCAACGCGAAGAACCTTACCAGGATTTGACATGTCATTTGTTTCTGTAGCTTAAAATTTTAATTTATTTTAAGTAGAAACTTTAAAAAAATGAACACAGGTGGTGCATGGCTGTCGTCAGCTCGTGTCGTATGATGTTGGGTTAAGTCCCGTAACGAGCGCAACCCTTGTTCTGTGTTGCTTAGGGAAACTCAGAAGACTGCCGGTGCAAATCGGAGGAAGGTAAGGATGAGGTCAAGTCATCATGCCCCTTATGTCCTGGGCTACACACGTGCTACAATGGCCGATACAAAGAGACGCAACTCCGCGAGGACAAGCTAATCCCAAAAAATCGGTCTCAGTTCGGATTGTAGGCTGCAACTCGCCTACATGAAGTTGGAATCAATAGTAATCGCAGGTCAGCCACACTGCGGTGAATACGTTCCCGGGTTTTGTACACACCGCCCGTCACACCCTGGAAATTTGTTATGCCCAAAGTTATTACCCTAACCATTTTTTGGAAGGGGATACCTAAGGCAGAACTCGTAACTAGGGTGAAGTCGTAACAAGGTAGCCGTACTGGAAGGTGCGGCTGGATCACCTTTTTTAAATCTGGGCTATTAGCTCAGTTGGTTAGAGCGCACCCCTGATAAGGGTGAGGTCACTAGTTCAAATCTAGTATAGCCCATAAATTTGGGGATATAGCTCAGTTGGTAGAGCACTGCTCTTGCACAGCAGAAGTCAGCGGTTCAAATCCGCTTATCTCCACCAAATTTTTATTTTATTTACATACAATAAAAAATGGTCAAATGCTTAAAGGCGTAAAATGAATACCTAGGCATCTAGAGTCGAAGAAGGGCGTGAAACCAACGATAAGCTTCGAGGAACTGGAAAAAAGTAATGATCCGAAGATTCCCGAATAGGGCAACCTTTTAAACTTTTTATTTAATTCATAGAATAAAAAAGAGATAACCTAGTGAACTGAAACATCTTATTAACTAGAGGAAAAGAAAGCAATCGCGATTTCCCAAGTAGTGGCGAACGAACAGGAAAAAGCCTAAACTGATAATATTAGTTATCAGGGTTGAAGGGATACATCAAAAAATATATAGAAAAATCAAACGTAATCTTAATAAATTAAGTAAATGAAACAGATTGAATACTGTACCATAGATGGTGAAAGTCCTGTAATTGCTTTTAATTTTGATAATAAAATATCCCCAAGTAATACGGGACACGTGAAATTCCGTATGAATTAGCGAGGACCACCTCGTAAGGCTAAATACTCCTAGATGACCGATAGTGAACAAGTACCGTGAGGGAATGGTGAAAAGAATCCCGGAAGGGAAGTGAAAAAGAACATGAAATTTTATGCTAACAATCAGTGGGAGATTAAAAATTTTAATTGACCGCGTGCCTGTTGAAGAATGAGCCGGCGACTTAAAATAAATGGCAGGCTAAGAGATTTAATAACTCGAAACCTAAGCGAAAGCAAGTCTTAATAGGGCGTCAATTTAACAAAACTTTAAATAAATTATAAAGTCATTTATTTTAGACCCGAACCTGAGTGATCTAACCATGGTCAGGATGAAACTTGGGTGACACCAAGTGGAAGTCCGAACCGACCGATGTTGAAAAATCGGCGGATGAACTGTGGTTAGTGGTGAAATACCAGTCGAACTCAGAGCTAGCTGGTTCTCCCCGAAATGCGTTGAGGCGCAGCAATATATCTCGTCTATCTAGGGGTAAAGCACTGTTTCGGTGCGGGCTATGAAAATGGTACCAAATCGTGGCAAACTCTGAATACTAGAAATGACGATATATTAGTGAGACTATGGGGGATAAGCTCCATAGTCGAGAGGGAAACAGCCCAGACCACCAGTTAAGGCCCCAAAATGATAATGAAGTGGTAAAGGAGGTGAAAATGCAAATACAACCAGGAGGTTGGCTTAGAAGCAGCCATCCTTTAAAGAGTGCGTAATAGCCCACTGGTCATAGCGTCTTTGCGCCGAAAATGTCCGGGACTCAATTATCTGCCGAAACTGTGGGATATTTTAAAAATATCGGTAGGGGAGCGTTCTGCTTTGGGAGAAGTTTTAATGAAAATGAAAATGGACTAAGCAGAAGTGAGAATGTCGGCTTGAGTAACGTAAATATTGGTGAGAATCCAATACCCCGAAAACCCAAGGGTTCCTTTACTAGGTTCGTCCATGAAGGGTGAGTCAGGACCTAAGGCGAGGCCGAAAGGCGTAGTCGATGGAAAACAGGTTAATATTCCTGTACTATTTTATTTTTTATAATATATATATGCAATACCAGGGGACAGAGTAATTAGAAATTAGCTGTTATTGGATTTCAGTAAAGATTTTTATAAAATTATAAAAAAAGAAAAAAAACTTTTTTTAATAAAAAAATCTTAAATTTAAGTAGATTTTATTACCTTTTCAAATGTAATAGAATTGAACAAATTATAATTTTTACATTATTCTCAAGAAAAGCCTGTACTATTGTTTACATTTTATATGAATTTTGATTATGAATTGTAAGAAAAATAAAATACCTGTACCGTAAACCGACACAGGTGGGTAAGTAGAGTATACTAAGGGGCGCGAGATAACTCTCTCTAAGGAACTCGGCAAAATAACCCTGTAACTTCGGAATAAAGGGTACCAAAAATTGAATTTTTTTGGTCGCAGTAGCAAGGCCCAGGCGACTGTTTATCAAAAACACAGGTCTCCGCAAAGTCGTAAGACAATATATGGGGGCTGACGCCTGCCCAGTGCCGGAAGGTTAAAGAAGTAGGTTATTTGTTAAAAAGAAGCTTGCGACTGAAGCCCCGGTGAACGGCGGCCGTAACTATAACGGTCCTAAGGTAGCGAAATTCCTTGTCGGATAAGTCCCGACCCGCACGAAAGGCGTAACGATCTGGGCGCTGTCTCGGAGAGAGACTCGGTGAAATAGACATGTCCGTGAAGATGCGGACTACCTGCACCTGGACAGAAAGACCCTATGAAGCTTTACTGCAACCTGGAATTGAATTTGGGTTTTTTTTGTGCAGTATAGGTGGGAGATTATAATTTTATTTATAATCGTTAGTGAGATACCACCCTTAAAAAGCTAGAATTCTAAGAGCGTTCCTTGAAACAGGACGCTTAACAGTTCTTGGTGGGCAGTTTGACTGGGGCGGTCATCTCTTAAAAGGTAACAGAGATGTGCAAAGGTTCCTTCAGGCTGGATGGAAATCAGTTGTAGAGTGTAAAGGCATAAGGGAGCTTGACTGTAAGACTTACAAGTCAAACAGAGGCGAAAGCCGGCCTTAGTGATCCGACGGTACCGTGTGGAAGGGCCGTCGCTAAACGGATAAAAGTTACTCTAGGGATAACAGGCTGATCTTCCCCAAGAGTTCACATCGACGGGAAGGTTTGGCACCTCGATGTCGGCTCATCGCAACCTGGGGCGGTAGTACGTCCCAAGGGTTGGGCTGTTCGCCCATGAAAGCGGTACGTGAGCTGGGTTCAGAACGTCGTGAGACAGTTCGGTCCATATCCGGTGTAGGCGTTAGAGCATTGAGAGAATTCTTTCATAGTACGAGAGGACCTGAAAGGACATACCTCTAGTGTACCAGTTCTTGTGCCAACAGGAGACGCTGGGTAGCTATGTATGGAGAAGATAACTGCTGAAAGCATCTAAGTGGGAAGCTCACCTCAAGATGAGTGCTCTCTTTTCATTTAAATAAAATGAAATATCGGTTACGGTAAGATTAACCGTTTGATAGGCATAAAGTGTAAGCTTAGTAATAGGTGCAGCTGATATGTACTAATAAACCGATTGATTTTGACCATATTATTTTAAAATCGTTTAAAATAATGTTCTAGTATTCGCGTTTATAAGAAAAAACCTTAAACCATCTCGAACTAAGAAGTGAAACTTATAAAAGGTGAAAATACTGAAAGGGAGGCCTTTTGGGAAAATAACTTAATGCTAGGGATTTTTAGTTAAAAAACTATCTTATTTAATTTGAATTAAATAAGATAGTTTTTTAACTTCCTAATTTAAAAGCTTCTATAAAAATTCCTAAAAGAATACCACGCTTAAATAATTTATAAGTAAAATAAAAATTTATTATTATTTTATAAATTAAAATAGCTGTGTTTTTTTTTTCTTTTTTATTCATAAGAGAATTCCAATTAAAAAGAATTTTAATAAAGTTAATACTTTCTATCAATTGTTGAAAGAAAATAAAAGATTTTTTTGGAAAAAATAAAAAAAAAGAAAATAATGAATGTTTACTTAAGTAATAATTTATAGGCATTAAATGCATAGTTAGCCAATTTTGCTCTTTTTTATCTAAAAATAAAAATATTTGTGTTGCAGAGCTATAAAAATATCCTAATAATAAACTACTTATGTTTAATTTATTTAAACCTTTAAAATTAATATAGATTGTATTGATTTTATAATTAATATTTTTAATTTGAGTTTGTAATTGATTACTATTTTTCATATTTAAATTTTAGTTAAAAAAAAAATTTGTAAATTTTTTTAAATTTTGAAGAACTCCTGTAGAATTAGAAGGTATTTCCAAATCAATTAAAGCATCTTCATTTCCACTTAATCTATTAGCAATATTATCATATGCAATACTAGAAACTGTACTCGTATCTTCTAAAACTAAAGGTTTTCCTCTATTTGTAGAGATAATCACATTTTCATCTTCAGGTATTGCTCCTAATAGAGGTAAACTTAACATTTCGCATACATCAGAAACTGATAACATAGTATTGTTTTGGATCATATCTATACGAACACGATTTACAATTAATTTAATATCAGCAATTTTATTTGCTTCTAATAATCCAACAACTCTATCTGCATCACGAATAGCAGGAATTTCTGGTGTTGTTACAATAATAGCTTCATTCGCTGGTGCTATAGCATGTATAAATCCAACATCAATACCTGCAGGACAATCAATTAATACAAATTGATATCCTAATTTTTGTAAAGCGGATACAAGTTGACACATATGTTGTTGTGTTACATTATATTTTTGATTATTTTTTGATATAGCTAATAATGCTAAATTTTTTAAATGTTTATCATAGATAATTGCTTGTTCTAAACTACAAGTACCATCAATTATATCCATAGCAGTAAAAGCAAGGCGACTTTCTAATCCCAATAGTAAATCTAAATTTCTTAATCCAATATCAGCATCGATTAATGCAACTGGGTATCCAAGTTTAGCTAGACACATTCCTAGATTTGCTGTTGTTGTTGTTTTTCCTACACCACCTTTTCCTGATGTTATAACAATAACTCGTGAGTCTGATAATGTAGTATTTTTTTTAGTAGTGATTGTTTCTATTTCTGGTAATTCTTTTATTTGTTCCATATGATTTATAATTAATTTTTTTATTATAATTGATGAAAGATCAATCTTTAGAATTATAATAGAATATAATCTATTAAATGATTAGTCTTAAATAAAAAAAGGAAAAGCCCCTGCATCATAAGTTAAATTCTTTGTATTTTATTTTGTGCTTGGAGGGATTTGAACCCCCGACTTTATGGTTCGTAGCCATATACTCTAATCCACTGAGCTACAAGCACATGTTTTTTATATTATTTATTATAATAATATTATAATATATTTAAATTGAGTCTTACATTCAAATGTTAATGCCTTTTGGTTTAAGGTCATGGGTTCAACTTTATTAATATATTAATAAAAAATTTTAAATTTTAGTAAAACATTATGGCAGTTCCAAAAAAACGAAAATCAAAATCAAAAAAAAATTTAAAAAAATTATATTGGCATAATAAAGTTTTAATTTATGCGAAAAAAGCATTAATTTTATTTAAAAAAAATTAATAAAATTATAAAAATAAAATAAAAATAAATATTATATGGATAATGAAAATAAAAAAAGTTCGGAAAAGATAAAAAATCTTAATAATTTGGAAAAAGTAGATATTATTGGAAATAGTGAAACTAATAACTCTGAGGAACAAAATATAAATGCAATCAATCAAATTATTGATTGTAATGAATTTAAAACAGAGGAAATAGATTCTGATACAAAAAAAATTTTAAGTGAAGAGCCGGAGCTTGAGATCGAAAATATGGAAGAATTACATGCAGGTTACAGAGAAAAAGTAAGAGAAGCTAGAAGAAGATTTTTTATTAAATTAGGTATTGTTATTTATCTTATTATACAAACATCTTTTATTATTTATCTACCGCTTTATGCGATGTTTAAATTAATTTTTAAGTATAGTTGGCAAGAAATTTTAACTGTAGCTTTAAATCCTATAGCTGTCCATGCTTATTTATTAACTTTTAAGTTAGCATTAATCGCTGCATTTTTAAATTCTTTTTTTGGCTATATTATTGTATGGGTTCTTGTTCGTTTTGATTTTAGAGGTAAAGACTGTTTAGATATAGTTGTAGATTTACCTTTAGGTGTGCCTACATCTGTAGCTGGTATTACATTAACAGCTGTTTTTGGTAATAAAAAAAGTTGGCTTGGGCCTATATTAAATTTTTTTAATATGAAAATTATTTATACCAAATACGGTGTACTATTAGCTATGATTTTTGCATCATTTCCTTTTGTAATACGAGGAATAGAACCTATATTAGAAAAACACGATCATGGATTAGAAGAAGCTGCTTGGACTTTTGGAGCAAATGAATATGAAACAGCAAAACGTTTAATTTTTCCTACCGTAGCTCCTGCATTATTAACTGGTTTTATTTTAAATTTTTCACGTTCTTTAGGTGAATTTGGTTCAGTTGTTATGGTTTCATCTAATACTCCTTTTGATGATTTAGTAACTTCTGTTTTAATACACCAAGCTGTAGAACAATATGATTATTTTAAAGCTTGTGTTATAGCAGCTGTAGTTTTAATTTTTGCTTTAATAATTATTTATATCGTAAATAGAATAAGAGCTTATTATACACGACATAAAATTCGTTAAAAAAAAAAAATAAAAAAAAAAATATATATATATGTTACCAATCCCAATAAGTGAAATTATGCGTGATTATACAGAGGTTATTAGTACACTTACTAGAGCAATGGGCCCTCAGTATAATTTGAATATAGTAAAAGAAAGTTTAATTTTTTTAGTTACTTTAATAGGACATAAAATTAGCTTTTTATATAATATCTTAAATACTAAAAAAATTTATTATGATGCATCAGTTATGATACCATATGTTCATATGGATGAAGAAAGCGCATTTTTTAATCAATTTTTTGAATATGATGAAATCTTAAATATACGAGAAAATCCTTTAATTGCTGGATTTTTAAATAGTATTTTTTTTGTATTTCCTAATTCTGTTGCACATTTAGTAGCCATTCGACGATTAATTATTCAAGGAATTCCAGCTGCAACTTATACATTAGGTGGTTATCTTGCTGGCCAACTCATTATGATTGCTTGTGTAGTTTTTGGAAATCAACGAATTCTTACTCAATTAATTACATTAGAACCTTTAAATTATGTTTTAGGGTTAATTCTTCTTGGCCGTATTATTTATAATATACGTTTCGAGAGTTTTATTAATTTAGATACATGGGAACACCCAAATTATAAAAAATATTTTATAAATAGTTTATTATTATCTTTTTGTGAACAAGGAACTATTTTTCCTTTTTTAAGTAACCTAACATTATCAGCTAACCCTAGTATATTACAAATTTCTTTTTCACAAAATCTATTTATAATGTTTATACAAATGTTCTTTTATATTACTGGAATGGTTTTAGGATCTATTTTATTTTCTGGTTTATGGTTTTTATTTTTCTTAAAACTAAAATCATTTTTATATGCTCGTATTTTAATTGCAAAAAATAGATTTTTTGCACATTGGAATACAGTCCTTAGTGTTTTAATGGTAACTATTGCGATAGCAACAATACCTTACTATTCATTCCATTTTTTATTTTTAGCGCCATTTGGATTTATGCCTGAAGATCGAGTTTTTAGAAATACTATATTTACTGATAGCTATGTAAAAGATGTTTCAAATGAAATTAGTTCTTTAACTCGCGGAAATTTGATGGAATTAAAATTATTTCCATTTAATACAGGAGAATATTTAATTTATCCAGAAGAGCTTCAAACTTTAAGTATGGAAGACTTAATTTATCGTTCTGATTACGCTTGGGTAAGAAGAATGGAAAAGTTATCAACTGATGTTGTAACAACAAATAGTAAAGGTAAAAAACTTTCACAAAAACTTGGATTTCAAAAAGGGTCGAAATCTATGGCTCAACGAGTTTTACCACGACAAACACCATTAATGACTTATCGACTTGATTTACATAATAGATTTAAAACAGATGATATTGTTAAACCCAACCTTGATGTTGAACATAACGAAATAAATAGTCAAAAAGAAATTAATAAAGAAGATATTGATATTTGGCAAAGATTACCACATGATCCAATATTAGACCGTTATTTTCAATGGTATGATTTTGAGAATCTTGAATTAAGTTTAAGTGATAATATTATCGAAACAACTGAAATTAATCTTGAAGAAACAGACGAAAATATTATTTATTTTTTTGTAAGAAATTTAGTACAAAGTCCTTTTTTATTTGTTGCACGTTTTTTACAAAATCAACGTGATATTGGTTATAGCCATTATGATATTGGTTTACGTACAAAGCAACAATACCAACAATCTATTATATATAAATTATTACTTAAATTAGATATTAGCACGTTTTTATGGAGACAACCTCGTAAATGGTGTTTAAATGGAGAGCATGAATATGATTTACAAGCAAAGCGTCAAATTTACAATCGATATTATGATTCATTACGGAATTATCGAAAAATACCAATTAAATTTTTTAAAATTTTTGATGACTTTTTTGGAGGAGCGATTAATACAAGTAACCAAGTATATAATCAACAATTTACTGGTACTTTAAGAAATTTAACTCGATTTTTCAGTTTAACCTTAGATGATGAACAAGATTTTTCGAAAAATAAAATTTTAAATTATATAAATGAGATAAAAACTGAAATTCCCCCTACAACTGATACAAATGATGAAGAATTTCATTCAACTGAAGTAGATGATGATGATTTTATTGAAGAAGAAAATGATATAGAAAACGATCAAGATAATTTAGAAGACGAGGAAGATTTAGAAGACGAAGAAGAAGGAGATTTAGATGTAATTGAATATGATGATTCTAGTGGCGAAATAAGTGTATCTGAAAATAAAGATATGGATAAAAATAAACCAAGCTCTTCATTTATTGATCTTGAATTAGTACATAGACCAGTTTCAGATGAAGAGTTAGCTAAATTAAAACGTACTAATATTACTTTAAAATTTGATCAACCTCTTTATAAATTTTCTAAATTTGATATTGGACCAGAACCTCATGAAGAATTACATAATTTTATGGAAAGTTTTAATAAATCTGGGCTTAAAGGTTTTTCAATGATTGATCAATATTGTTCTCCTTTATATGTTGATGAATTTTTAACTATTAATAATAAAATGTTAATGACAGACTGTACTTCTATTTTATTATTACCAGATGATGCTTGTTTACCAGAAGGAGAATTTGATTATTCTGTTAATTTAATAGATGAGAGACTTAAAAAATTAGGTTATATTTATAGTAAAGAAAAAGATAAGCTATTAAAAGAAAGAATGAATAGTTTTTATATAAGTAATTGGGGAGCTCCTGATCGAGGTGGTATGTTTGACTTTTTAAATAATTTCGTATTTTTTTCATGCTGGCCTCTTCACGATCATATTATAGAAAAACCATTTTATGAAGAAAGTATACCATATCTTATAATGAAAGAATATAAAGAGCAAGTAGAATATACTATAGAAGATGAGCTTACTTATGATGTCTTTGAACTTTCAGAAGAAGATGGACTTTCTTTTACGCGTCCATGGATTATGGAATATATGTTAATTGATGGTGCGCGAGATTCTCACTATTTATTAGATCTTTTTATTCCACAAAAAGGTGGTTTTGTTTGGCCAGGTATAGATGATATTTATGTACCCGGAATCAAACGTCGTAAAAAACGACCAATGCCTGATAGACGAACAGTTGATCTTCCTGAAAAAGAAGAAGATGAAAATGAGATAGATTATTAATAATTATTAATTAATAAAAGCATATTTATATAATGATATAAAATAACCTTATATCATTATATAAATAGGTGCCTTTTGTTCTTATTAAGATAGGGATAGAGAGACTTGAACTCTCACGATTCTATGAATCAACGGATTTTAAGTCCGTTACGTCTACCGATTTCGTCATATCCCCGAAATTCAAAAGCTTTTTTTGGGTCGATGCCCGAGTGGTTAAAGGGGGCGGATTGTAAATCCGCTGATTTTATCTACGCTGGTTCGAATCCAGCTCGGCCCATTTTTTATATTTTTAATGGTTTTCGGAAAGGGAGGGATTCGAACCCCCGGTAGCTTCTAAGACTACGTCGGTTTTCAAAACCGATGCAATAGACCAACTCTGCCACCTTTCCTATTATAGAATAAAAATAGCGGGCAACGCGATTTGAACGCGCGTCTTACACCTTGGCAAGGTGTCACTCTACCACTGAGTTATACCCGCAAATGATTTAGATGTTATAGTATTTTATTAAAATAAAAAAAAGAAAAATATAAATGTAAGTGGGATGGAGCAGTCTGGGTAGCTCGTAAGGCTCATAATCTTAAGGTCATAGGTTCAAATCCTATTCCCGCTAAAAAATAGCCCCCATCGTCTAGAGGCCCAGGACATTTCCCTTTCACGGAAAAAACGGGGATTCGAATTCCCCTGGGGGTAGAAAAAAACAAACAATTAAAAAAACTATATTTTTTTGTTTTGATTTCAAAAAAAAAAAATAAAAAATTTTAGTCGAAATATACTAAATTTTTATGGTAAAATAATAATTTAAAGATAAATAGAATATATATATCTATGACTAGAATCAAACGTGGAATTGTTGCACGAAAGCGTCGAAAACATGTTATTTTTTCTACAAAAGGATTTCGAGGTTCATCATCACAATTATATCGAATTGCTCAACAACGAATAAATAAAGCATTAATTTATTCATATAGAGATCGAAGAAAAAAAAAACAAGAATTTGTTCAAATTTGGATTTCACGTATAAATGCAACAGTTAGAAATTTAGGATTAAATTATAGTCTTTTTCAAAATAAATTAAAAAAATCGCAAATTATTCTTAATAGAAAAGTTTGTGGGCAGCTAGCACTTAAAGATATAAATTCTTTTGAAAAATTATTTAATAACCTTCAAATAAAAAATTAATTTTTTAAAAAAGATATAATTTATGAAATCAATAAATCAAGTTAGAAAAAATTTATTATTTAAAAAAAATGCTCCATTCATTTTAAATGATAATCTGATTCCTATATATAATGTACATACTATTGAGTATAAAAATACTGTACTTTTAAAATATTTTGTAAATGCAGCAGGCAAGATATTACCTAAAACTGTTACAAAATTAACTGCAAAGCAACAACGTCATATAGCAAAAGCTATCAAAAGAAGTCGGATAAATGCTTTATGTGCTTTTCAGAAACCTTTAACTTTTGTTATTAATAAAAATCAAAATAAAAAAAATAAATATAGAAGAAGATTAACTTTTAAGAAAAAAAAACAAATAGATTAAGCAAAAAGCACGCTTTGTAGGAATTGAACCTACGACATTAGGTTTTGGAAACCTACGTTCTACCAACTGAACTAAAAGCGTCTATTTTTTATCGTTTTTAAAAATCGGGATAACAGGATTTGAACCTGTGACTTCCTGTTCCCAAAACAGGCGCGCTACCAAGCTGCGCTATATCCCGTATTAATTTAAAACATTCTTAATAATATTATAATAAATTCTTAAATTTTAAACAATATATTTTCCATTTTTTATTATTTCTTTATATTTTTTTTTTAATTTATGCCAACGATTCAACAATTAATAAAATCAGCACGAAAAAAATTAATAAAAAAAACAAAATCACCAGCTTTACAAAAATGTCCTCAACGACGTGGAGTTTGTCTTCGAGTTTATACAACAACCCCAAAAAAACCAAACTCTGCTTTGCGTAAAGTGGCTAGAGTGCGATTATCTTCTCGATTTGAGGTAACTGCTTATATTCCTGGTATTGGTCATAACTTACAAGAGCATTCAGTTGTTTTAATACGAGGAGGTCGTGTAAAAGATTTACCTGGTGTTCGTTATCATATAGTTAGAGGTACTTTAGATTCAGCAGGTGTGAAAAATCGAAAGAAGAGTCGTTCTAAATACGGTGTAAAACGTGTTAATTAAATAGTTTTTTAAAAACAGGCTATTTAGAATTTAAAAAAATTCTTAATTATTTAAATCTTAATTTTTTATTAAATATTTATGTCCCGTCGACGTACAGAAAAAAGGCGCAATATACCAGCTGATCCTTTATATAAAAGTATTATAGTAGAACTTTTCGTGCGTCAAATTATGCGAAAAGGTAAAAAAACTTTAGCTTATAGTATTATATACAAAAGCATGTTTAAAATTAGGGAAATTACAAAAGAAGAGCCACTTATTATAATAGAGCAGGCGATCTTAAATGTAAAACCTTTACTTGAAACGAGAGCTCGCCGATCACGAGGCTCTGTAAAACAAATACCAATAGAAGTTAAACCAGAAAGAGGAATCCTTTTAGCCATTCGTTGGATCAAAATAGCTGCTCAAAAAAACAAAGGAAAACCTATGTTTCTAGCTCTTGCCAATGAATTAATTAATGCTTCTAATAATACAGGTAATGCTGTGAGAAAAAAAGACGAAACACACAAAATGGCTGAGGCTAATAAAACATTTATAAAACGAAAATATTAATTTTCATTATTTTATATTTAATTAATTAAACCAAGATACAATTTTATGGCACGCGCAAAATTTGAACGAAAAAAACCACATATAAATATTGGTACAATTGGTCACGTTGACCACGGAAAAACAACATTAACAGCTGCTATTACTATGGCATTAGCTGCACGAGGGGGTGCAAAAGGAAAAAAATATGAAGATATTGATTCTGCACCTGAAGAAAAAGCTCGTGGTATTACTATCAATACTGCTCATGTAGAGTATGAGACAGAAAATCGTCATTATGCTCATGTAGATTGTCCAGGGCATGCAGATTATGTAAAAAATATGATTACAGGTGCTGCTCAAATGGATGGTGCTATTCTTGTAGTATCTGGCGCAGACGGCCCTATGCCGCAAACAAAAGAACATATTTTATTAGCAAAACAAGTAGGTGTTCCTAATATTGTTGTATTTATAAATAAGGAAGATCAAGTGGATGATGACGAATTAATTGAATTAGTTGATTTAGAAATTCGTGAAACGCTTCAACGATTTGATTTTCCTGGTGATGATATTCCAGTTGTAACAGGCTCAGCTCTTCTCGCGCTAACTGCATTAACTGAAAATCCAAAAATAAAACCAGGAGATAATAAATGGGTTGATAAAATTTATCAATTAATGGATATTGTTGATTCCTATATTCCAACACCTAAACGTAATATCGATAAACCTTTTTTAATGGCAATAGAAGATGTATTTTCTATTACAGGCCGAGGTACTGTTGCTACAGGCCGTGTAGAACGTGGTGTTGTCAAAATTGGAGATACTGTTGAAATCATTGGATTTGGTACTAATAAAGTTACAACTGTAACTGGTATTGAAATGTTTCAAAAAACACTCGATGAAGGTATTGCTGGTGATAATGTTGGTATTTTACTTCGTGGTATTCAAAAAACTGAAATTCAACGTGGTATGGTTTTAGCTAAAACTAAAAGTATTACACCACATACAGTTTTTGAATCACAAGTTTATGTATTAACTGGAGATGAAGGTGGTCGTGATACACCATTTTTTAGAGGATATCGTCCTCAATTTTATGTCAGAACAACTGATGTTACTGGAAAAATTGAAAATTTTACTTCTGATGATGGTGAAAACCTTAAAATGGTGTTACCTGGAGACCGTATTAAAATGACAGTGGAATTAATTCAACCTATTGCTATTGAGCAAAATATGCGATTCGCTATTCGTGAAGGTGGTAAAACAGTTGGAGCTGGTGTTGTAAGTAAAATCCTTAAATAGGCTTTATTTATAACATTGATTTCACTTTTTTTATTTAATTCTTTTTTACAATATTATGAAAAATTTTAATCGTGTCCTTATAGAAAAAGCTGAAGTAGGTTTTATCAAGACTAAAATGCCTGTAATACAAGTTGGTGATTTTGTTCGCTTTGGTATTAAAGTGGAAGAAGCTGGAAAAGAGCGTATCCAGTTTTTTGAAGGATTAATTATTTCATTGCATAAAAACGGAATTAACACAACAGTTACAGTTAAAAATACACGTTATAAAGTTTTACGTGTATTTCCTATAAATGCTACTTGTCTTACAAACATAATAGTCTTGAAAAAAAATCAAAAGCTTTCAAAATAGATTTCTCGTTATTTATGGCTTGAAATCAACATTAAAAAAAGAAATATATATAAATCTATCTTATTATATACAAAATAAAAGAATTTTAAAATAAAATTCTTTTATTTTGTATATAATTATAAATTAAAAATGACATTTATAATCTTATGTTCGATTTTATACAATATCCTGTAACTTATAGTTCTAAAACTATTGATTTAATGAAAAAAAATCAATATTTTTTTGATGTTAATAAAAACATTACAAAACCTCAATTAAAAAAATTATTTGAAGATTATTTTAAAATTAAAATAGTATCAATAAATACACATCGTCTACCACGAAAAAAAAAACATTCAGGGTTTTCTAAATCACTAAAGAGGGTTATTATTACATCAAAATCTGAAATTAATTTAATAAACATAATAAATTAACTCAACAAAATTTTTAAAATTTAAGAAAATAAAACATATGTCTATTCGTTATTATAAACCAACTAGTCCTGGTAGACGACACGCTACAACATTTGATTTTAAAGAGATTTCAAAAAAAAAACCAGAAAAAAATTTAACTAAAGGCTGGTCTCGAGCTCAAGGGCGAAATAATAGAGGAGTTATTACTAGTAGACATCGTGGCGGTGGTCATAAAAGAATATATAGATTTATTGATTTTAGCCGAAATAAAATTGGAATTTCTGCTACAATAAAAGCTATTGAGTATGATCCTAATAGAACAGCACGTGTTGCTTTAGCTTATTATAAAGATGGCGAGAAACGATATATTTTATCTCCTAATGGTTTAAAAATCGGTGATACTATAATTTCATCACCACACGCTCCTATAGCCGTTGGAAATAGTTTACCATTACTTCATATACCTTTAGGCACTTCTATTCATAATATTGAACTTCATCCTGGAGCTGGTGGTCAATTGGCTAGATCCGCAGGTACTGTAGCAAAAATTATAGCAAAAGATAATTCTTGGTGTAGTTTGCGCTTACCTTCAGGTGAAACTCGATTAGTTTCTTTAAAATGTTGGGCTACTATTGGTCGAGTAGGAAATATAGAAAATTCTAATATGGTTTTAGGGAAGGCGGGAAGAAATCGTTGGTTAAATAAACGGCCACATGTACGAGGTTCTGCGATGAATCCTGTAGATCATCCACATGGAGGAGGTGAAGGAAAAGCACCTATTGGACTTAAACGACCATTAACTTTATGGGGTAAACCTACATTAGGGATGAAAACTCGTAAACGTAAAAAATTTAGTAATAATTTAATTATTAAATTTTAAGATTTTTTTTAATTGTCAAGAAAAGAACCATCGCTTTATTCTATTAAAAACTAATATAAAATTATTAAATTATATGTCAAGATCCTTAAAAAAACCACCTTTTGTAGCAATTCATTTATCTAAAAAAATTGAACAATTAAAAAATAAAAACAAAAAAAAAATCATCAAAACATGGTCTCGTGCTTCAACTATAATTCCATCGATGATAGGGTTTACTTTTGGAGTTCACAACGGAAGATATCATATTCCTGTGTTTATTACAGATCTAATGATTGGACATAAATTAGGTGAATTTGCTCCTACACGTACTTTTAAAGGGCATAAAAAAAAAGACAAAAAATCAAAAAGAAAGAAATAATAATTAATTTATGGGACAAAAAGTACATCCTTTAGGATTTCGTCTTGGTATTAACCAAAAGCATCAAAATTATTGGCATGTAAGACGACACTATTTTTCGATTTGGGTACAAGATGCTATTTTTATACGAAAATATTTAGAACATATTTTTATAGAAATGGGTTTAATTAATATTGAAATACGACGCATTCATTTTGAGTTCTCAAATATTGATATTTTAATTCATTTAGCTAACCCAAATATGTTATTATATTCTAAATTTCCAGCGTTAGCTAATACACCAAAAAAAGAAAGAACTTTAATAAGTCAATTAAATGCTTTAACAAATGATTTAATAGTACGCTTACAAAATTACTATAAAAAACGATACTTGCCAATTCCACCAAAAATTTTTTTTAATATTAAACTTCAACCAGAACCAAATTCATTTATATCAGCAAATATAATTGCTCAGACTTTAGTAAATGATTTAGAAAAACGAAAACATTTTAAAAAAGCTTTATCAGATGTTGTAGAAAAAGCAAAAAGTGCAGGCATTAAAGGGATTAAAATCAAATTATCTGGTCGAATAAATGGTATAGATAAAGCAAGGATTATAAATTATCAATGGGGTGCTGTTCCTTTACATACTTTACGTGCAAAAATTGATTATTCGCAAAAGTCAGCAAAAACAATTTATGGTCTTTTTGGTGTTAAAGTTTGGGTTTTTCATGGTGAATCTTTAAATAAATTAAACAATTTATAAAAATAAAAATATTTTTAAATTATGCTTAGTCCTAAAAAAACAAAATATCGAAAATATCATCGTGGGTCGATGTCTGGCAAGGCTTTACGCGGAAATATATTAAGTTTTGGTGATTATGGACTACAAGCTTTAGAATGTTCTTGGATCACTTCTAGACAAATCGAAGCAGCTCGTCGAGCTATTACACGACAAGTTCGTCGTGGAGGAAAACTTTGGATTCGAATATTTCCAGATAAACCAGTTACAAAACGACCAACAGATACACGAATGGGTTCAGGAAAAGGAGCTCCAGCTTTTTGGGTTGCTGTAATTAAGCCTGGGAAAATTCTTTATGAATTAAAAGGTGTTTCCGAGTCTAATGCACGTATTGCTTTAAAATTAGCTGGCTCTAAATTACCAATAAAAACACAAATTATTGTAAAAAAAATAAATTAGTATTAAATTAATATGATTCAACCACAAACATATCTTAATGTAGCTGATAATACAGGGGCTCGTGAAATCATGTGTATTCAAGTATTAGGTGGTGCAAAAAAAAAAGCAGCTGGCGTTGGAGATCGTATTATTGCTGTAGTAAAAAAAGCTCTTCCGGGGATGGCTGTGAAAAAATCAGATATTGTTCTTGCTGTAGTTATACGTACAAAAAAAAATATACGACGTAAAAATGGGACAAGCATTCGGTTTGAAGAAAATGCTGCAGTTATTATAACTAAAGAGTTAAACCCTAGAGGCACTCGAGTTTTTGGGCCAGTGGCTAGAGAGTTACGGGAAGCTAATTATACTAAAATTATTTCTTTAGCCCCTGAGGTTTTATAATACTTTTTTGATTTTTGCTTTAAGTATTAAACTTTTAAATATTTTAGAAAAATCTAAATATTTAAAAATAATCAAATAAGATGATATAATTATGATACAGCAATTAGAAAAAATTTATCAAGAAAAATTAAAAATAGAGATTTTTAAAAAATATAATTATAAAAATATACATCAAATCCCTAAAATTGAAAAAATTATAATAAATCGAGGTATAGGTGATGGTGCACAAAATGCTAAACTTTTAGAATCATTTATTAATGAAGTTTCTCTTATAAGTGGCCAAAAAAGTGTTACCACACGTTCTAAAAAAGCAATAGCTGCTTTTAAACTTCGTAAAAATATGCCTGTTGGGGTGATGGTAACACTTCGAGGAGATTTTATGTATTCATTTTTAGATAGATTAATTAATATAGTATTACCACGTATTCGAGATTTTAAAGGCATTGATTCAAAAAGTTTTGATGGTCGTGGAAATCTTAATATTGGATTAAAAGAACAATTAATGTTTCCTGAAATTAAGTATAATAATGTTCAGCAAATAAGAGGTATGGATATATCTATAATAACTACAACAAAAAAAGATAATATGGCAAAAGCTTTGTTAGAAGCATTTGGTATGCCTTTTAAACATTAAATTCTAATATAAATATTTTATATACAAAATATGTCTAATGATACAATTAGTGATATGTTAACTCGAATTCGAAATGCTATTTTAGTTTTTAAAAAAAGCGTACGAGTTAATAAAACACAAACAAATATACAAATTTGTAAGATATTAAAAAAACGAGGATTTATTACTAGATTTTACGAATCTAACACAAAAAAAACTGACTTAATTATTGTTCTTAAATATTATTCATTAGAAGAGTCACCAAAAATTCAAAAACCTTGTATTACAAACTTAAAACGAATAAGTAAACCTGGGTTACGAGTTTATTCAAGTTATAAAAAAATACCAAAACTTTTAGATGGGTTAGGCTTTTTTATTATTTCAACATCAAAAGGGTTAATAACTGATGATGATGCTCGATTTTTTGAAATTGGAGGAGAAATTCTTTGTTGTATTTGGTAAATATTTATTAAAAAGTTATTTTAGTTTTTTAAAATTTAAAATATATTTAATAATATGCAAAAAAACCATTATAAAAAAAAAAAAAGTTCAGTTCCACGTTTTGAAGTTAACGGAATTGTAAAAGAATGCTTATCACATGGGTTTTTTATTATTATTACAGAACCTCATAATTTTTCAGTATTGGGCCATCTTGCTGGTAAATTGCGTAAGTATTCTATTATGGTAAAAGTGGGTGATGCTGTTCGTGTAGAATTATCTCCTTATGATACTGCACGTGGACGTATAGTTTTTCGATATAAATCACCTAAAATTAAAGAAATTTAATAACGTTATGAAAGTACGCCCTGTAGTTAAAAAAATGTGTGATAAATGTCGAATTATTCGACGTAAAGGAATTTTACGCGTTATATGTAAAAAAAATGATAAACATAAACAAAAACAAGGGTAAATCCTTTATTATCATTTAAAAAGTTTTTGATTTTATATCATATTTTAATTATGAAAAGTGAAAATATAAAAAAAAAAAAAAAAATGTTTTTTCGTAAAAAGAAGAAAACAAAAAAGTTAGAAGGTAATGCTTATATTCAAACTAGTCGGAATAATACTATAATTACAATTACTGATTTAAAAGGTAATACTTTAGGTTGGTCTTCATCAGGTGCTTGTGGATTTAAAGGTGCTCGCAAAGAAACACCTATAGGTGCACAAAGAGCTGCACAAAGTATGGTAAAACTTTGCTCTACTAAAGGTATTCAAAAACTTCATCTTTTTGTTAGAGGAATGGGATTTGGAAGGGAGGCTGCTATAAGAAGTTTTTATAATCCTCAACTTAAATTTCTAACTATTTCTGATGTGTCATCATATGCTCATAATGGGTGTCGACCACCTAAAAGGCGTAGACTTTAATATATTTATTGACAAAAAATCATTTCTATGCAACTAAAATTTAAAAAAGATTATGTTTTTCGAGTAGAATCGGAACGTTCTCAAAATGGTGAATTATATGCTCGATTACATATAGGATTATTTCCTAAAAATAAAGCTTTAACTTTTTCAACTGCTTTAAGGCGAAGTTTATTATCCGATATTCCAGCATTGGTTATATCTGATATTATAGTTTTTGGGGTAGAGCATGAATTTGAAGCTCTACCTGGAATTCAAGAACCTTTTTTTGACCTTATTGAAAACTTAAAAAAAGTAGTAATTGCCCATATTTCTGAAGGTCTTGAGTTTTTTTTTTCAAATCCAGGAGAAATCAAAGGATTTATTAATTTTAAAGGTCCGGGAGAAATTAAAGCACATGATATTATACTACCTTCAGATTTTTTTTGTGTGACACCAGATCAGCATATAGCTACAGTTAGTCATAATGGTGAACTTATTATGGGGCTTAAAATAATATTAATGGACCCCAATAGTGTAAATCAGATTAATAAATATGGTATTACTCAATTAGATAATTTTAAATTATCTGAGGTTCTTTTAAGAAAAAAAAAAAAAAAAATAAAAAACCAAAAGGTTTTAAATTTAAATTGTGTACCAAATCCAGTTAAAAAGGTTACTTTTTTTATTCAACAATTAGAAAAAAAACAAAATTTAGAATTTATTGATTTAGAAATTGTAACTGATGGAAGTATTACACCAAAACAAGCATTACGATATAGTATATTAAAACTTACAAAGTTTTTTTCTCATTATATCTTCTAATTTATTTTCTAAAATAAATTATATAAAATTTTATTAAAATAAAAAAAAAATAATGGTCTCAACAAAATTAGAAAAAATTAAATATAGTTCAAAAAAATTGACTTGTACGCAATTTGGTGGTCGAAAAGCAGCTAAGGCCTTAGTTTCTATGGCTCCTCATCGTTCTGATTTTATTTTAATAAATCGAAAACCAATTGCTGAATATTTTAATCATAATAATATTTTAATTGCAAAAATTTACGAAAGATTTTTTATGTTAAAAAATTTGAATGATGGTTATATAAATGAATCTTTGGAAAAATATTGGAATGTTTTGAATCATCACTATATATCAATTGAAGTGAAAGGGGGTGGTATTCAAGGGCAAGCTGAAGCAATTATGTTAGGAATGGCTAAAGCTTTTGTAGATATTAATCCTAATTTAAAACCTTTACTTAAGCCACAAAAACTACTAACGCGAGATGCTCGTATTAAAGAACGACGAAAATATGGTTTGAAAAAAGCTCGAAGAGCTCCTCAATTTTCTAAACGTTAAGTTCTTTTTATTAATTAAATTTATTTAAAAATATGTCAACAAAAATTACAGAAATTATAGAAAAATTAAAAACAATTACTTTATTAGAAGCTAGTGAATTAGTATCTCAAATAGAGCAAACATTTGGTGTAGATGCTTCTACGCCAATAATAAGTGGTGGAAATTCAGTTACATTAGAATCACCAAAACAAGAAGAAGTAGTGATAGAAAAAACTACTTTTGATGTTATTTTAGAACAAGTTCCTAATGATAAACGCGTACCTATCTTGAAAGTAATACGTAGTTTAACATCTTTAGATTTAAAACAAGCAAAAGAATCTATTACAGATTTACCGAAAACTATACTTCAACAAATTTCAAAAGAAGAAGCAGAAGCTGCTAAACAACAATTAGAAAAAGCAGGAGGTACTGTTAAATTAGACTAGTATTTAAAATTTTTGATTTAAATTAAATCAAAAATTTTAAATACTATGTAAAGCTTGTAACTCAGTGGAAAAAGAGTACGTGCTTCCGAAGCATGGTGTCGTGGGTTCAAATCCCGCCAAGCTTGGAAAAAAAAGAAAATATATCGGAGAAAGAGGGATTCGAACCCTCGGTATGAAAAACATACGACGCATTAGCAATGCGTTACCTTCGGCCACTCGGTCATTTCTCCAAAAAAGGCTAAAATTTTAGATTTAAGAGTTCATCGTCTAATGGATAGGACAGGAACCTTCTAAGTTTCTAATGTAGGTTCGATTCCTACTGAATTCATAACCCATTCAAAAGTTAAAAATGAAGTTTGCCTACTTAACTCAATAGGCAGAGTATCGGTTTTGTAAACCGAAAGTTATCGGTTCGACTCCGATAGTAGGCTAATTTTATCAAATAAATTTATTAATATATTAATATGCGTAAAAAAAAAAAAATACTAGTAAAAAAAAAACCATTATCTTTAAACAAAATGGTAAAGGCTAAAATGTATATGGGACACACCCCGAATGAGTGGAATCCGCATATGCAGAATTTGATTTTAGGTGAAAAGCAAGGATACCATGTTATAGATGTTGTTCAAACACTTTATAATCTTAAAGATGTATTACTTTTTATACAAGAGAGTGCTAAACAAAACAAAAAATTTTTATTTATTGGAACGGATAAAGTAATAGCTCCTTTGATTAAAGAAGTTGCTAATTTGTGTAAAAGCTTTTATGTAAATAATCGATGGTTTGGGGGAATGTTAACTAATTGGAAAACTATACAACAATCTCTTGTACAATTTAAAAGTCTTAAAGAAGCTGAAATTTCAGGTCAATGGAAATTTTTAAAAAAGAAAGAAGTTCTAAAAAAAAAAGCAAAATTGTTATATTTAGAAAAAAACTTAATAGGATTAGATGGTATGGAAAATTTACCGCATATAGCCATAATAATAGGGCAAGTGGGAGTCTTAACTGCTATTAATGAGTGTAAAAAATTAGGAATTACAACAATAACTTTTTTAGATACTAATTGCAATCCTGTTTTAACTGATTGGAATATTCCAGGAAATGATGATTCATATCTTTCTAATAAATTAATATTAAATTTTATAAAAGATTCTATACTTTTTGGACAAAAAGAACAAGTTAATATTTCTGAAGACCAAAAACAAGTTGATAGTTTAAATTTTATAGAAAAGAGCAAATTATTAAAAAAAAATATTTTTAGAGAAGAAACTGAATTTTTTAAAGCTAAAAAGGCTCCAATTCAAGATTTAACTAAAAAAAATTATAATAGTGCATCTAATAATTCTTATCGTAAATTTAATAATACCACTATAAATAAAAAATCATATAATAAGTTTAATAAATATCAGCATAAACACCCCAATAACCAACAAAAAAAATATTTTAAATATAATAGATTTAACAATAAAAATCGTTAATTTTTTATATTTTTTTAAAGCACAGTTTTATTCAGATTTAAATAAACAAGTACAAGCTCCATGCAGTCAAGGTCAATGATTAAATAATTTTTAAGTATTCATGGATTTTTCATAAAAAAATAAAATATATTTTTTTATGAAATTTTGTTAAATATCTTTATGAAAAACCCTTAAAGTTGTGAATAATTTAGGTTCTGATATTCAATTTAAATTTAAAATTTTTAGAAATGTATATATAAAGTTTTATTTTATTATAAAATAAAACTTTATATATATATGCATATTTTCTATTTCTTGAGCCTATTTAGCTCAGCTGGTTAGAGCATCCGTCTCATACGCGGAATGTCATTGGTTCAAATCCAATAATAGGTATAAAAAAAGTCAAGGGACTGTAGTTCAATTGGTTAGAGCACCGCCCTGTCACGGCGGATGTTGCGGGTTCGAGCCCCGTCAGTCTCGTTATTTTTATAATTAAAAATGATATTACACCTTGAATTCAAGCATCTATGGCAGAGTGGTCGAATGCACCGCACTCATAATGCGGTTCTTATCTAGACAGCATTGGTTCGAATCCAATTGGATGCAGTAAACTTCTAAATAGATTCTATAGATTTAAAGAATCACCTTTGGCATTACCTTTGGCCGGACTCGAACCGACATGTTAAAAACATCAGTTTCTAAAACTGACACGTCTACCAATTTCGTCACAAAGGTTATTTTTTTTTAATTATTATATTTTAATTATACAAGAAGGGAGAGGCGGTTTTTTCCCAAAAAATATTTTTTAAATTTTATAGAATAAATGAATTTTAATAAAATTCATTGTTTTTTTTATTATTATTAGTAAGTTTTTTTTTATTATGAAATAAAAAATCAATAATAAACTTACTTTTTTTTTAATCATCATTATTAATTTATAAATGGCTAAGAAAAGTCTTATTGAACGTGAAAAACGTCGTTATTTTTTAGTACAAAAATATAGTGAAAAGCGAAAATTTTTAAAATCTGAGTTAAAAAAAGCAAAATTAACAGAAGATAAGTTAAAAATACAATTAAAATTACAAAAATTACCCCGAAATAGTTCACCAACGAGATTACATAATAGATGTAGTCTTACTGGACGACCTAGAGCTTTTAATCGATTTTTTGGCTTATCTCGTAATGCTTTGAGAGAATTAGCACTAAAAGGGTTGTTACCTGGTGTTGTTAAATCTAGTTGGTAAATTCTTTATATTTTTCAGTAATTCTTCTCTAATTCCAAAAAAACTTTCCTCTCCTAATCTCTTAAAAATGTTATCAAATATATCATAGTTTTCTAGAAAAAGTGCTTGATAAAAGATTATGCCTGTTGGAGTACCAAAAGTCCCTTTTGGCCTTCCCGATCAAGAAGAAGATCGTTGGGTAGATATCTACAATAGACTCTATCGGGAAAGAGTTCTTTTTTTTTGTCAAGAGTTAGAAGAGGAATTAGCTAATCAATTAATTGGAATCTTACTTTTTATAAATAAAGAGGATGAAGAAGCTGAAGAAGAGGCAAAAGAAGCAAACCTTCCTATAGAATTTAAAGAGGCCTTTATGTACATTAATTCTCCTGGGGGTTCAGCTGTATGCGGTATAGGTCTTCATGATGCTATGAATTACATCAGAGCTGCTGTTAATACTATAGGTGCTGGTGTTGCTGCATCAATGGCAGCTTTAGTTTTAGCTAACGGTCAATACGGAACTCGGTTAGCATTGCCTCATGCTCGAGTAATGCTTCGCCAACCTAAAGCAGGACTTGATGGTCAATCACTTGATCTTGAAGCAGAATTTAAAGAAGTCCGTCGCATTAAAGAAGAAGTGGCCATATTATTTTCTGAAGCTACTGACCAACCTTTAAATAAAGTTTATACAGACCTACATAGAGATACGTTTTTAGCACCAATTGCTGCTCAATTTTATGGCATTATTGATAAGATTGCAATAACTTTAGATGGTTATTATTATCATTATACTGTCGAAAATCTTTATGATGAATAAGAAATTTTTAATTAATTTAAGCCTATTGGATTTTTAAGCATTTCATCTAATTACGACATTCATAATTAATTAGATTGTATTTTGATAAAAGATTTATTAATCTTTCTGATAATTATCTTTTATTTTGACCGAAACTGCACCGGCGGTATAGCCAAGTGGTAAGGCAATTGACTGCAAATCTTTTAACGCCTCAGTTCGATTCTGAGTACCGCCTTTTTAAAAATTTCATTAAAATAAAAGGTATTAAAAAAAACCTTTTTATGTTATTTTAGAAAGTAATTACTCTTTAAAACAAAAAATTTTCAAAATGATTAATAAAACATTAAATTCCTTGCTTTTTTTTTATTTAAAAATAAAAAAAAAAAAAAAGAAATCTACAATATTATCAAAAATACCTAATTTTATAAGTATACAGCAGTTAAGTTTCAAAAATTTTTTAAATAATGATTTATCATTAGCCTTAGAAAGTATAAATCCAATTATAATTGAATATAATGAACAATTTTTGGAAATTCATTGTTTTAGCAAGTATATACAATATATAAAACCAGAAAAAAGTATATCAGAAATCATAAAACAAGATGAAACTTATAACTGTCGTTTAGTTTTGCCTATTTTAATAAAATTTCACAATAATTCAAAAGTTTCTTTTGAATGGATTCATTTAGGCTCTTTACCATTTATGTTAAAATCTGGTAATTTTTTAATTAATGGTATATCACGAGTTGTTTTACACCAACTAGTTCGCATTCCAGGTATATATAAATTATATTATAATAAAGAAACTATTCAAGGCATACAAATAATTCCCTATATACAAATTATTCCAGATAAGGGTAGTTGGATAACAATTTATGCTGATACAGAAAATAGATTGTGGATATCGTTAAACCTCTTAAAAAAAAAAATATCTCTTTTAATTTTTTTACAAGCATTAGGTTTTGATTTAGATATTTTATTCAAAAAAATATCATATTCTGAAATTTTGTTATCAAGTATTGTTCCATCTTTAACGTCTATAGAAAGTAGGCATGATAATATTTTAATAAATGCTGGTTTAGATTCACATCCTTCTAATCAAATAGAAGCTTGTAGATACATATATGCTCATTTTTTAGAATATAGTTCTTTACAAAAAAAAGAAAAAATACATAAACAAATACAAAATCAAGAAGCTATTAATTTTTTTCAAAATATTCTTTGGAATTCAAAAAATAAATTTGTCGGTCCTTTTTGTCGAAAACAATTATTTAAAAAACTAGGAGTACCAGTTCCTTTAAATAATTTAGAATTTACAAATCAAGATTTTATCTATATAACTCAAGCAATTATAAATTTAATTTATGAAGAAGAGATAGTAGATGATATTGATGATTTATTTAATAAAACAATTCGAGGTTGTGGAGACTTTTTATATGAAGAATTAATAACGGGATTGAATTCATCTAAATTAGTATTAAATAGAAGGTTTGAAAAGTTTATTAAAAAAGAAAAAAATGATAATCTTGAATTGTTTTGGAAAAAAAATAAAGAAAAAATTTATTCATCAGTAACAAAATCATGGCATAAATTTTTTGTAAGTGGAACACTTTCTCAATATTTAGATGAAACAAATCCATTAACCGAAATTACTCATAAGCGCCGTATTACTTTTTTAGGTACTGGAGGTATAACAAATCAACAAGCTACCATTAAAATTAGAGGGATTCATCCTACATATTATGGAAGAATTTGTCCAATAGAAACACCAGAAGGCCAAAATGCTGGGTTAGTACATTCTATTACTACATTAGCTAATAAATCTTCAACTGGAAATCTTGTAAGCCCTTATTTTAAAGTATTTAAAGGACAAATTCAAAAAAATCTAGGATTTTTTTATTTAAATAGGGATTTAGAACAAAAGCAAATTTTGTCATCGGCTGATATATCTTATTCAAAATTGAATGTTTTAGCGCAAAGCACTTTTCCTGTACGCCAAGATTTAAATTTTGACTTTATTTCTGCATATGAAATTACTATGCAATCAGTTTCTGTTTTACAAATGATTTCAGTAGCTACTAGTATTATTCCTTTTTTAGAACATGATGATGCTAATAGAGCTTTAATGGGGTCTAATATGCAACGCCAGGCTGTCATTTTAATGAAACCTGAACTATCTATAGTTAAAACTATAGTAGAATCACGAATTGCTTCAGATGTAAATAAAATTCTTCAAACACCTAAAAGTGGTTTTGTTTTTCAAGTAAATTCAAATCAAATTATTATATATAAACCTAAAAAAACACAAAATCAAAATTTTTTTATGGAAAATTTATTAAAAAATTTAAAAAATAATAATTTAAAAAATAATAGTATTATAGCTATTAATTATTTATCAAAATATAAAAAATTTTTATTGTAAAATAAAAATTTAAAAAATATTTTATATTATTTACAACTTTTCATTATGAGCTTACAAAATATTGAGTTTTTAAATAAAAAAAAAAATACAGAAATCAGTATAGAAGAACCAAATCAATTTTTAAAAATGTCATATAGTTCTTTAAAAGAAACAAATCAAGGCACTTGTGGATTACAACGACCAATTATTTCTGAAACTCATTGGGTAACTTCATCATCAAATTTATTAGATAATGGAGCTACTGTTAATGGAAATTTAGCAATTGGAAAAAATGTAATTGTTGCTTATTTACCTTGGGAAGGCTATAATTTTGAAGATGCCGTTTTAATAAGTAACCAGTTAGTTTCTCATGATTGTTATACATCACTTCATATAGAAAATTATATTGTTGAAATAGAAGATCCTGATTTAGGGTTTGAATTTATAACAAAGGATATTCCATTTTTATCTATGATAGAAATAGATCACTTAAAAAATTTAGACTCAAAGGGCATTATTCAAAAAGGCATATGGGTAAAAGAGGGAGATTTTTTAGTTGGAAAGGTTAAGTCAAAACATGCTTTTAAAATTAACCCTAATATTCTTTTACAAAAAGACAAAAATTATGAATTTATTGATGATCAAAATAATTTATCTGAAAATGAAATGAATTTTTTAGATAATGAAAATATTTTCTTAGATAATGAAAATACTTTTTTAGATGATGAAAATATTTTCTTAAATAATGAAAATATTTTGTTAGATGATGAAAATAATTTTTTAGATGATGAAAAGTATGAACCTAATCAGCATAATAAAAAAAATATTAATGATTTTATAGACTCAAATAGGATTAATAACAATTTTTACAACCCTAAAAAAAAACAAGAGTATACAGATACAAGTTTTAGAGTTCCTAAGGGAGTTGAAGGTTTAATTCTTGATGTTGAAATTTTAACTTCTGCTACTAGAGGTAGAAAAAATTTTATTGATTTTACAGACGATTGGTTCGAAGATGATTGGCTAGACGACTGGATGGAGATTTTTAGTGAAGAAGATAATTCTATAAAACAAAGTTTAGAGCGAAAGGAGCCTGTTAAAAATTTGATAGTAGGAGTTAAAATAACTCTTTTACAACGTCGAAAAATACAGGTTGGCGATAAAGTAGCTGGTCGTCACGGTAATAAAGGTATAATATCTAAAATTTTACCTGTTGAAGATATGCCTTATTTGCCAGATGGAACACCTGTTGATGTAGTTTTAAATCCATTAGGTATTCCGTCTAGAATGAATGTTGGCCAGGTTTTAGAGTGTTTATTAGGACTAGCTGGTAAATATTTATGTGAATCTTATAATATAAATTTATTTGATGAAAAATTTGGAAAACATGCGTCTCGAAGTTTTGTTTATGCCAAATTATATGAAGCTTCTATTAAAACAAAAAATCCTTGGTTATTTGAATTAGAACATCCAGGTAAATTTCAAATTTTTGATGGGCGTACTGGATTAGTTTTTAATCAACCTGTAACCGTTGGTTATACTTATATGTTAAAACTAATTCATATGGTTGATGATAAAATCCATGCACGTGCTACAGGCCCTTATTCTATTATAACACAACAACCAACTCATGGTAGAGCTCAAAACGGAGGTCAACGCGTTGGAGAAATGGAGGTCTGGGCTTTTCAAGCATATGGAGCTGCTTTTACATTACAAGAGTTATTAACAATTAAATCAGATGATACAATTGGAAGAAATGAAGCTACTACGAATATAGTATTGAATAAACCGATCGAAAGACGACATCCTGAAAGTCTTAAATTAATTTTGCGTGAAATTCAATCTTTATGCTTTAATCTTGAAATGTATGCTCCTTCTTACAACAAAGAAATTAATAAATTTTCTTTAATAGATTTAAATGATTTAGATAATGATATTCTCTAATTTATATTATATAAAATTTTTTAAAAATGATTATAAAAATAACTAAAGAAATAAATAAAGTACAAATTGGATTAATATCACCTCGAGAAATTCAAGAATGGGGAGAACATTCTTCAATAGATGGTACTATTGTCGGTGAGGTGACTAATGCAAAAACAGTTAAAACAGAAAATAATGAATCAATACCAGAAATTGGAGGAATTTTTTGCCAAAAAATATTTGGTCCTGTAAAAAGTTATTTTTGTGCTTGTGGTAAAAAAATTAATGATGAGCTTCAATTTTGTGAAGTTTGTGGTGTAGAGCGTGCTCATTCTCGAGTTCGTCGTCATCGTTTTGGTCATATTAAACTAAAATATCCAATATTGCATCCTTTATATGCTACATCAAAACCATCGCCATTAACTTTTTTTTTAGATTGGGAGAATACTAGAATAGATCATATAATATCAGCTACAGAATTTTGTTATATGTCTTTATCTTTTTTCAATTTTTGTTCTTGGTATGAAATTATTGATTCAGATTTTATAAAAAAGATTGAAAAGCCTGAATCTTATATAGCATGTATAGAACAAGTAAAAGAAAAAGGTAAAAACGAAAATAAATCTACAACAAACGAGAATTTACCTTTAACCAATCCACCAGATCTTTTTTTTTCCGATTCTTTTGAAAAAGTTATGCAAAATTATGAATTAGTGGAGGTTCCGCAAGATTTTTTAATGTATGGGATTAATTATGATATGAGCTGGGCTACAACAAAAAATTTATCGTCTTTTTTTTATTTTTTTAATAGTGTACCTACTTATCCTGCTGCTTTTATTCCTTATTATTCCTTTTTAAAAGAATTAAAAAATTATAACTTGCCGTATGCTGTTCGAAATGACTCTATATTC